AAAAAAAAACAAGCAAAAAAAAATTTTTTCTTTTTCTTAAAAGCTATTCATGCACGTGTAACTAATCAACATGATGCTGGTCAATGGATATCTTATTTATTGACAATTGTTCGAGTTTATAAAGATCGTCTTAATCGTATTCAAGAAAGTGAACAATGGGTATGGGTATCACGTAAAGATGTTCAATGTTCATGTCCACGTTTACAACTTGATAAACAATATTTATTAATGGGTTTTTATGATCAAATGCAAACATCTTTAAGTCTTGATCGTACATCTGTTGTTATTGAATGGAGACCACGTATGGAACAACGTATGAATCGTTTTCGTCGATATGAATTAAATAAAAAATGTTAAAAAAATAATTATATTCTCAACAAGTCAATAATGAATATCATTCCGTAAAACATCGAACAAAATAAAAATAAATTTTGTATATTTGTCGTGTGTGTGTGTGTTGTTGTCATTGTTTCATTTTTCTTTTCTTTTCTTTTCTTTTTTTTTTAATTGTTAATTGTGTCAGTAATCTTTAGCATTATGATAAAATAAAAAAAGTCATTCATTTTCATTTATTTGATTGTGCAATACTATTTCATTTTCATATCAATTTATTTAATGCTTTTAAGTAAAGTATATCATCGTTTCCAGACTGTTGTCATTAAATATACATTAGTCAAATAGAATTTTTTGTTCAATTAACCAAAACTTTGTTTGTTTCACGATAAACAAGGACGATTACACTGATAATATAAACAAAAAATGAGGCAAAAAAATCTTATCAATTATCATATTTTTCTTTTTCTTATTTATCTACTAATGGTCATCAAAATAATGCCGTTGGCCGATTGAGAATCATGTCCACTTAAAAGACAAGAGAATAATCGATGGTATAGCTTTATCATTTCAAAATGACCATTAATGCAAAACGGAAGTAAATTTGAAGAGAATAAGTGCCGATATGAATAAAAAAAAGAATCCATTTACACGTGCCGCTTTGTATACAGACGATGTGTTTGACACCATTGATTTGTTTTAATTTGATGCTTCATTAAGTACTATGTATCAAATGAGTGGTAACTCATACACAAAAAATATAATTGTTTTAGATTTTTTTCTCTTCTCATTTAACATAAAGACGAATGGTCTAATAATGAAATAAAAAAGGTGATAAAACTTTTGGTATGCGAACATTCTATTTAAGTGAAATAAAAAAAAAACAAAAATAAAAGCAAGCTTCTGATTTAGTTTACTTATTAATTTCAAATCTAAATGTGTTATATATTTTTTTTTGAAATTAACACATTATTTTATGAGTTTTTTTTTTTCTTCTTTTCAATTAAACGATTTTTAATCCTATTTTGTAGAAAGGTGTTTGTATAGATAAACGAAAAGAAAAGGTGCCTCTACAGAATGTGTTATATCAATACGTACTTTTACGAATCAAACAAACGATACTGATAACAATGCTTTTTTATTTTAATGTATCATTATGACAAACGAAATAGAAAATTGATAAGATTTCCAACAAGAAAAAAAAAAACGAAATATAAAACAAAATAAAAAGTTAACACATTTGTTTTTTTAGTGCAGAAGAAATAAAGGTATATGATGATAACTCAATATTTATTTATTGCTTTCTTGAGTTTTATTATTGTTCATGGAACACAATGGCCTGTTCCATATGAACGTGTAACAAGTCGTCCAACAAATAATCCATATTGTCAAGCAGGTCTTATTGCATTTTGTCCAACTGGTAAAACTGAGGATGCAATGATTTATGCACAAGATGATAATGATGTTATCGAAATATTTGCACTTAAAAAACCAGTATGGTCATTTAAATTTGGAGATTTATTAGCTAAATTTGTAAGTTTTTAATTAAAAAAAAAATTTGTTTTTTAAATAAAATTTGTTTTATTTGTATGAAAAATAGAAAATTATGCATGATGCATTAGGTTTTCGTAGTCAAAAAACAGGTCAAAATTGGACAATGGAATGGTAAATTAAATTCTATTCATAAAAAATTAAATATATATTTTTACTTTTTATAAAGGTATGAATTAGATCAGCTATTTAATTGTACATTTCCACATGTACTTCAAAATAATTCATTTATATGGTGTGATCAAGGTAAATTTAGATATTTTTTGATAATTATCATTAAATATATTCTTAATTACAGGTGCTTTATGTGTTTATGAAGGAATTGTTGATTCCTTATGGAATGGTTCATCAGATTTAAGCATGTTGAAAAAAGTTGGTCAAATGACTGGTTAGTATTCTATTTGTTTTGTTTTTCTAAAAATTATTTTTTCAATAGGTAAAAATTATAATGCTTGGGCGTCATGGGCTGTAAGTGATAATAATACTGGTGTCTATTACGAAACATGGACAGTCTATTCTGATATTGGTAAGCGTTTATGGAAATGTATTTTTCAGAAAGTTCATTTGAGTATGAATTACCGAAATACATTTCACAAAGTAAAGACTATAATGAATGTCATAAACTACATGGATCTAATTCATTTTCATTTTTATTTGTGTCACTCAGATATAAATATGATGGTGAAAAAAAAAAGCAATGAAAAAATAATTAAAACTTTTTTAAACATGTTACTAAATTCTGCATCTTTTGATAACTGTACTTTAGAATTTTAGAAGAAATATTTGTAAGAGAAATCTTCTTTGAAAAGTATGTTTTCCCAAAATATATACAAAAATATTACTAGATATTGCTTCCAAGTCTTTTTTTTAATAAATGACAACATCCAAAACCTTGATAAGAACTTCTTGAAGAATAAAAATTTAACTAGACTGAAGGAGAATACTCCTGATTTTCAGCTATCTTTCAGTATGGAGTGCTACTTAGCGACAGATTCAATAGTCTGATGTCTTCTCTACAACTAACATCAGCTGTAGCTCTTGTCTTCAATTGCTTGAGCTCTTCATAGAAACTAACTAACTATAAGAGCAAATGTACGTCATAATGTAGTCAACATAATATTGGACGGATGACTTGAGATAAATAGTCGTTAGTAATTGGCACAAAGTCATTTCATAACTCATAGTATTAAGATTAGCAATAAACTTGAATAAACTATTACGGCCTAACTATTGTTTGTAGAAGGAGAAACTTCTTGTATCTTCATGTAAACTCACAGTCAAAAACTTTCATTAAGTAACAAAATAATCCACATGTAAGGAATCTATTATACTAAAAAGAAAAGTATATGTTTGATAATCCGAAATTTCTTTTCTTTGCGTTCTAATCAGATAATTTTTCGATGGACAAAATATCTAGACTCGGCTCATATTGATAATCCATGATAGAATGAATTGATTATTTTTTTTTAAGGTCCTAATGCAACAATGTATTTCGATTCGTATGATTGTGCTAGTTTTGTTATTCGTGGATTAAATCAACTGTATCGTTATGGTGCTGAAATATTACCAAATATTCATTTGAATTATACACGTATAAATCTATATGCATATGAACCTCAATTACTTGGTACATATAATCAGATAGTTCAAAATGAAACTCTTCATCAAGATTTTATTGATTTTTATCGTAATTTTGATTCAAAAAAACCAACAACAGGAGCATGGATTAAATCTTTAATAGATATTTATGAAACATTTTTTCTAACTCGACGTTTCTATTTATATTTCAATAATGTTTATTGGTATATGAAATTAAAAGAAATAACACCAATCAAAATAACATTTTATGAAATTCCAATCAGTTCTGTTTTGATGAATTAAATAATATAATAATAAAAATTTTGAAAATAAAAAAAAATAATTTTGTCATTAAATCACTAATCTTACGAAAAGAAAAGATAAATAAAGCAATTGACAAAAAATAAATACAATCCATATGTATCAATGTAAATCTTTCTATTCAATAATAGATTCATAGAAATAATTCTATTCATAAAATATGAATGTTTTGGTTCCTTGAATGTTTCATGCCGTCTGTTTATACTAGAGTAAGACTACTTAATCTAACACATACAATTCTGGAGGTAATATTGGAGGATTAACTTATAGTATCATGATTTAGTTTATTGTCATCCTGATGAATATCCTTCCTATCCTACAATATCCTACGTAGAAGGATTAATAGGGTACGTTTGAAGGTCAATATTTAGCAATTCTAATAAGATATGATACTTGATTCTATCTCTTAATACAAAAATTTGTACGGTGTACAAAACTGTGTATGGACATCACAAAAGACTTGTATGACAAATGCATTATGAACAAACAGTTCCATATTAAATTCTTTTGAATAACATTTTTACACTCAGCGTCTAATATTTAATTAGAAAATAGTCCTTTTAGAAAAAACTGAAATGTTAATAGCAAAAAAAACTTGTAAAAACATTCACTCGATTTTTTTTATTATGGTAGTGAGAAGAATTAAACTCAAACAACAAATTTTTTGTTATTGATCTGTACAACTTTGAGAGGAGGAGAATAAGACGAATTCATTTAAAACTTTATTACCTCTTCTAAAAAATTGACCTTGATTCACCCTAGAACAAAGTTTATTTCGATCAAATACTTCATCGATTTAGAACAACATTATAAACTTGTAATTGTATAGCAAATAAACACAGTGTGTTCGCAATATCAATAGTCGATTATGTTCGATCAGACCATCGACAAGACATTTATTTTTAAGTAAAAGTTATGTGAAGTAGACACACATTTGGTTTATAATGATTCATGATGTTGTTATGATATAAAATTTTTGTAGTATTTTCATATTGAATAATTGATATGGTTGATTTGTTTGCTTATATTTTTATATTTTTTTTTTTCGTGACCTTGTATTAAAAAATACGTCATTCTTCTTCGTTACCAAATATGTATTTATTTATACATAGATAAACGTACACAGAAACGTTTATTTCATTTAATCATTGCCTTGCTCTTTTCTTTTGTGTATGTTATAGCATATTATTTGGTTACTTTTATAAAACAATATTAATATGATGCATCGTCAAGAACGTAGTCATTTAAGTTCAGAATCTGCATCATCAGAAATATCTAGTATTACGTCTAGAGCAACAACATTAACTGGTGCTTTTAGTGATAATAAAAGTAATACATCATTAGAATATCAACCAGTAATAAGTGGCTTAGATCGATTAAAAATCTATCGAGTAGAAGATGATCACTCGTCGGCTTTCTCAAGTACAGCTCCAAGTGCTAGTACTGTTATCAACATGAAACCTAACACAAATAGAATCGATAATAATCAATCTAATGAAATGATTACTCAAAATCAACAAAAACCATGGATTAATCCATATTGGGGTTCAAATTGGAAGCCTAATACAACAGCAACTCGATCAGAAGCAAACAAAATCAATACAAATACTAATGTTCCATAGTAAGAAGATAGTGTTTTGATTATTTTCCACTAATGAGAGAACATACTCAACTTTTGAACATCGTTCGACTTTCTATTATGACTAGAAGTAGGTCTTGCTGAGGCTAAGATGACCTTGAAAAGAATTTGAACCCAGGACCAACCGTTAAAGAGTTATGATCGTTTAAATGAAATTTTTCTACTAAGAACAAGACATTTTCAAAAAAGCAGCCGTTTACGATATCAAATCACAATGATTGAATCTATTTATAAATCGAATATATCAAGAAAAATATCTTCGTTTCTGTTGAGATTTTTCAGATTATGTAATAATCATCAAACATGCCTATGGACAAAATTTTCGATCGAAACTCTTTGCAATCATTTTAAACTTGCCTTAGTCTCATCGAAATCTACTCTTAGTCATAATATGAAGTCGAATGGTGCCCAACAGTTGGATATGTTCTTTTGTGAGTCAACTTTTTTCTCCTTTTTGTTTTAAAGTTCTTCAGCACCTGGTCACATCAGTCAACTTATTCCGGGTTCGATATTAATTAATGATCAAGGTGAACTTGATGATTTATCATGGAATAAAAATACACATATTCAACCACTGTTTTCGAATAATCCATTAAATCCCAGTGGTAAATATATACCAGATGATAATCGTGGCCCTGGTGGTTATCTTGCACCAACACATGTTCAACGTCGAATCGTAATATCATCACCAGGAATATTTGTAAATCCTGAAATTAATTTTGGTTATACACGATCAAGTTCATCATCGGATCTTAATACTCACAGTCGACCTACATTCAATCGACAACAAACTTTTCCTGAGAGAACGGACAATAATATTCAACAATGGGTCAATCCCTATTGGGGTACAAAACCAAATCAAACTAAACCTCAA